CTCCTATAGTTAAGGGTAATAGTTTTGGGAACTTTAAGTATTCCAGGAACCGATATGAGATCGATCAAAAGAATGTGGTTCCATATGCTTCAGCTGTTGGAAGCTTGATGTGTGTACAAGTACAAGTAAGAACTTACCCTAACATAGTTTATGTATCCAAAATATTTTGGCAGAAGTCCAGTTTAGATATAGATCACTGGAATTGAGTTGAGAATGTCTTGCATTTTTTGCAAAGTATTATAGGCCTCATGCTGAGTAAGAAAGAATAAGAACTCTCAAATAGTTAAGGGTACAAAAGTTAAGTCTTGGTGAGATGTGTAGTGAAATCCACAGCAGTTGCTAACACTCACAGTTGGAGTATTATTGTGGAAAAGCTCTAAAGAAACAGTTGTGGTGTCATCAGTGATGCATACCATAGTATAGCTTGTCATGAGGCTTAAGAAACAAGCAAAAGAGGTTAAGGGAATATGTACCCGGATTTCACAATGGTAGACAACAGCAATAACCATTTAAAGTAAGTTAACTCCCAAGACAACAAGTCAAGTGTGATGCCAAATACATTGACACTAAGGTATATGTTGTAAAGGAGAAAATTCAGAATCATTTTGAAAGCATTGAGCACATAAGTACCGAGTAAGTACTTACGGATCCGCTTACCAAAGGCTAACCACCTAGTGCGTTCAGAGAATACACACTTGACATGGGTTTATGGAAAAGCCTATGATTTCTGGATACTAAGGGCCTAGTTGAGTATCTGCTTCAAAACAGAGAGGTGCGTTGTAGCTGTTTAATCTAATGGCAACAGACCATGACAAAGAGGCACGCTCTATACACTGAACTGTGATAGAATGGGAACAAGATAAAGTAAGTTAAGTTTAAGGAATAAGATGAGATCAAGGGGGAGAATGTTAGTTTGATCTCCACCAATTGGCCGCCCTTGGATCCGCGCCCTGATCGGGGGCGCCCAACCACTCCATGGTTGGTGGCCCCCCATCGCACAGCACCATAAAAAGGGAGGTGGGGACCGGGGCACACGGTATGAGGTTCCCCTGAGCCGCCAGATGCCCCACCGATGCTCTAACCATATTCGATCTAAAGAGAAGGGTGCTGCCAGCGACGGGAAGCCCCACCGACTTCACCGTCGCCTCTGCAGTGCCACCACCAGATTGCTGCACCTCGCCTCGTCGTCGGGCACTGTCACTGCACTTCATCTATAGTCGTCGCGGGCGCACTAGCTACCAAGGTACACCTAGAGGTTTAGAAATTTCTATCAAGGCGGGAACGCATGTCAGACTCACAATTGATCGCTGCGTGCGTGTGTGTACTAGTGCTTCTGTGTAGTGTGCCTTTTAATTTTGCCTTTGGGTAGTGTGTATGTGTATGGCGAATTTTTCTTTCGCTTGTAGTTTTTAGTTCGCTGCTGCTTCGGCTTCGGCCTGCTCTCCTGTAAATAACATAGGAGGCATACGAATGGAGGTGATGTTTTATCCAGTTAGATCGAAAGGGTATGTATTGGCTACAGGTGCCTGACATTGTCAGTCATCTTCCTCCTCATGCCATCTTTCTTCCTCCTCACGCTCGCTTCTTTTTTGTGCCTCGCCCCCGCCTGCCTCACCGGCGGTCGCGCCCTCCTCCTTGTCCTCGCCCCGCCGCTGCACACCACCCCGACACGAAGCACTAGGGTTTTGCTGGAGCTCCGCAACCACAGAGCATCGGTGAAACCCTAGTGCACCCATGGTGGCAGCCTTCTTCCCGTCCCCATCTCCTTCTGTGGTGAGCTCTGGCCATGGACGCGTCCACTCTGCCCTGGTCCGACCGCCTCCGCCGCCGCCAGGACCCTAAGCCGCCCTCTTGCCGTCCCCACCGCCTGACCGGCTTGCCTCCCCCCGAACCCCATCTAAGCCCGCCAGAGTTGAGGAAGAAGAGTGGGCCGTCAAAAACTAGCAGGCTCTCCCCATGCCGTCGGAATATGGCACCCAAACTCCATAGAACCCCCACATTGGTTGTACAATAGGTTGAGCGGAAGGACCCCAACGAGACACATGTGGAAAAACTTGTTGCTATAATGGAGTCACTACTTGTGACACCACAATTTGCATGAATGACTCTTCTTGCTTAGGAGGTGTAGGCTCTCTTTTTTTTTACAACCGATTCATAGAATCGGCCTTCTCTTTCTTGTATTTGCTCATGAACTTGTCAAAGGCGCATTGACGTCTCACCACCTTCCCTGCATTCTTCACCTCATTACTTGTCCAAGTGTCAATCTCAGGTCGGCATGGCACAAAAGTACGCAAAACATGGACACCGAAGCCACTGGAATTGCCAGAATGGCCTGGCCGGCTCCTCAAATGCTTTGTTGACCCGGCTGTGATCTTGAGTTTATTTTTGCCATTCATCTTTCTCAAGCACAACTTTGTGCCCCGAAACCTTCTCAACTTTTGGTGCTTCTCGAGGCTTGCCGATAATCACGTTCTTGCCAATGGTTGTATCAGCCGGTTCCGGGCGCATCAAAACAGCGGGCTCTCACTTTTCAAGTATATTGGCCGGGAAAGGAACTTTATCAACTTGCATCTCAGTAAGACTAAATCGTCCCTCATTGACAACCGATTGGACCTACCAACGAAAAATATTGCAATCATTAGTTGCATGAGAAAAAGAGTTATACCATTTGCAATATACCCTTCGTTTCAACCGTTCAAGCAATGGAATAGCATGAAACAATTTAATGTAACCATTTGTAAGCAATTCGTAAAAAATGTGGTGACATTTAGCGGGATGAAAATTATTTTTTATATCCTCTTGCCGATTCTTATGAATCAGTATGAAAGATGGACAAGTGAATGATTTGTTTTGCGCAGGCCAAATAAATTCAGCAAAGTTGCATTCTTTGGTTTCATCGTGCGAGCGTATTAGAATGATGTGACCTATGAACATCACGAGAATCTTTCAAACGAGTTTCAATGCAACGACCTTTGCAACAATTGATTAATGGTAAGAAACTCATAATGCACATGTTTTTCTTTAATGCTAGAGCGCAAACCATTCAAAGCCATCAAATCTTTTTCTGAAATTGCCAAATGAAAGCATCGGTAATTGATGTATCTAAAGCATTTCACAAAGTCGAGGACAGATTCATCGCGCTCTTGTCGAACTGATGTTAGATGTGACAATTTTGTTTCATGAACTCCATTATAAAAATGTTGATGAAACCTTTGTTCCAATTGAGACCATTAACTAATAGAACAAATGGGTAAAGATGTAAACCAAGAAAAAGCTATACCGGTAAGGGACAGAGGAAAATGTCGAACATTCATAAAATCCAAGTTACTAGCTTCACCCATTTGAGCAAGAAGCAAACTAATGTGCTCCATGGTAGATTTGTTTTCTTCACCGCTAAACTTATAAAATTCTGGTACCCTCTAACCATTGGGAGCTTTCAAGAAATCAAAAATGCGAAGAGTACGACTTATGATAAGTAGTCCTACTTGACTTAATTTGCACACTCAAGCTATTCTCAATAGATTTGGACAATTCATATCTAAACTTATTCATAGCTTCATTAAAATCGGTAGTAGGAGCCACGTGTGCACTACTAAGCATAGGAATTTGACTCGATGACTTTGGTGGGTTAGGAAGAACTGTATTATACCTCGCCGAAGCTCGATTCACAACTAGTCCGTGATCGGCTTGCGTGTTACGAGCCGAACTTAAAGCAAAAGTGACCACCGACATAGATGTGCTAACACCACCTAAATTGGCCTTATTGGTTTTAGTCGCCAAAGAGGCCAATTTGGCTTTGTTAGCCGCTGCGTACAAGCTTCAATTATCATAAAAGTTGTAAGGCATGGCATATTGAGGTTGCTTAGAAGCCAATTCGTTAGCATATGCATCGACATAATCAGTCGTCTTACCCTCTACCCTATCCATGCGTGCCATAAGCATATTAACAACAGTCATGAGATTATTATCAGTAATCGTCCTTTGGTCATGCAACATCTTATCATCATGAGTATGGTAAGGATCTTCTACCTCTTCATTAGTTTTTACTTGCAGTGCAACGGATGTAGAAGCGTCTAGATCACCGAAGATGGGCTCACGATATTGAGTAGCCTTGCCCCCTCTTCGATTGGTGTCGAATTCTTGATATTCCCTTGGTCAAAGAGATCGGTGTGATCACCCTTATCCTTAGACTTATCATCGTCAGACCTGCTGCTAGTACATTGGATCTTCTTCTCTTTCTCCACCGGAGTCGCCAAAAAATGTGTTAACGCCAATTTGAGCCACACACCAGTAAGGGCTAGCACATCCGAGGTCACACACGACCTTGATCATAGCAAGAACGCAGCGAATCGACGAAACCGTCCAACAAGCTGGTTAGGCCGATTTGAAGCTCATTCTTCGCCGGTAGACTCCCGAACACCTCCCAGGAAGATCCATCGGAGAGGAGCACATAGAGGTTGTTCTAGGGTCGGCAAGGCCATCTAAAACAAGAAATCCAACTTCCAATTGTCAAAAAACACATCAGTTACCCTTTTGCCCGGGCAAAAGAGCAATTCGTGTGTTTTTTACGATTAGAAGTTGCATTTCTCAATCGGTCGTGATCCTCTCGTTTATAGAGAGGGGGTGGTCTTATCCTAGTAGCAAACAAGTTCAGAACGCAATCTCCAAGTTTCCCATGTTGAACATAGATCTGAAACCGATTTGGAAACAAATCGGTTCAAAATAGACAGTTGTCGGTTTTCATGGGGTCTGGCTCTGCAGCTGAGCCACACTAACAGGGGGACCGCCCTAGCTGGCTTGGGAACCGGCCTAGGCGGTTTGGCAAACCGGCCAAGCCCAATTTTGTCCTTCTCTTGCTCATGCTTTGATTTTTGTCGTACCAAATATTTTCCAATATCCTCTCGATGCCAGCAACTTATCGGTGTGGCCCAATTCTTCCGTTGGCACACTTTTGGGTGTCAACACTGGTACATACGTGTTCATTCTTATTTTGCAAAGCACTAGCATACGAACAAGTGATCTCCATCTCTTAGCACGTCGATGTCCTCAACTTCGGCGCCGTCGACGGTGAGCACCGTCGTCACCACCTTCCTGAACTTGGCCTCCGCAACACTCCTCAGCTCCCGCATGGAACCAGGAAGGCATAAAAGCTTCCCTGCAGCATTTTCAGACTTCTGATGGATAACCACTCGCCGCTTGGCCTCTCTACGCAGCGACATTCTCAGCTGATCAGCCTTTTCCAGTCCCTCCGGGTTCAACATCTCGCTCCTCCGCCTCGACATTGACGCTGCGGTGGCGGCCTCGGCCTCAATCTGATCTGCGATCTCCCTGAATAATGGCGCTTCTTCCCTTGCAACTTTCCACACGGGAGATCCAAGGTGCTGAACGAAGTTGCAGAACACCCTAGCGGCGTCGGCGGTGTGAGGCCGGACTACCCGCAGAAGGTGGCCTTGGCTGACGCGCACGGCCTGGGTGAGCCTCCTGCACCGGACGGTGAACGGCTGTGGGATGTTGAGCATCACGCCGATCTCGCCGGCGATGCCGCACCGACATGCCCTTGATACGACCGTCTCCGTCCCGTCGGCAGCAGTCGCCAAGACGTCGACGGAGCCGGACACGATGATGTAGCAGTCCGTCGGGGTCTCGTTCTGCTGGACAATGTCGGCCTTGGCCGGGAAGAACTGCGCCGTCGCGTCGGCGACGAGGTCCACGACAAGGCCCTCGGAGACGCCCCGGAACAGGTACGCGCCCTCGACGGTGTCCCGGAACAGGTGCTGCGCGATTCCCGACCGCACGGCCCTAGGCATCTCGGACAGAAGCTGTTGCTGGAGCAGCTGCTCCGTCATGTCGAAGTTGAGCTGCACGCTCTCTGCCATCAGCTCCGTCAGCGCTTCCGGCAGCTGGTTCATGGCCCCGAACATGGAGACGCCGCGCAGCGTGTCCCGCAACGCGAGCGCGGCCGTGGAGCAGCTCACGGCGAGGTTGGTCATGTTGCCGACGACGTACGCGGCGAGGCCCTGGTTGAAGAGCACGTAGAAGACTGCGAACACCATCTCGCCGGGGTTGGCGGGGTGCAGGTCGCCGTAGCCGACCGTGGTGAGGGTGGCGACGGACCAGTACACGGCGCGGGTGTACCCGGCCCAGACGCTGCGGGTCTCGAAGCCGCGGCCGAGCCACGTGCGCTCCTTGGGCCCGCTGTAGTGGGAGGCCATCCACAGGTGGACGCACGCCGCGGCGTGCACCGCCAAGAGCGTCACGCCGACGAGCTTGACGAGCCGCGTCCAGGAGTAGTTGAGCCGGACGTCCTTCTCCAGCTTCGCGAAGAGCTCGCTGACGCGCCGCAGCCGCCACAGACGGAGGAGGCTCAGGAACCGGCACGGCGACGACCACGCGGCGGCAGCGCCCCAGGCGGTGGCCAGGTGGTAGATCACCTGGAACGGGATCGTCGAGGCCACGTCCATCGCGAGCGTCCACGGGCGCAGGTGCCTCACGTCAGCCTTCTTGCGGTCGTCGTAGAAGAGACTGGTAGTGGAGGACGAACCGCGGACTTTAAGGCACGCGACGAAGATGGAGGCGGCGATGTCGACGGCGAAGAACACGTCGGCGACCAGGTCTGCGACGAGGAGCGGCAAGGTGGCCGCCCTCTCCACGGCCAGCTCGAACGGCGACGCCCACGCCGAGTATAGTACGGGCGCGACGAGAAGCGCCTGCCACCAGCCGTAGCCAGCGCCGGCGGGCTCGACGAGCGGCGTCGCCGCCGCCGCCGAGCGCATGCACAGCGCCTGCGCGACGACCAAAACCTCAGCCACCGACTGCAGTTTGCGGTGTACTTATAGGAACGCATCATGCATGGGATCAGTTGTGTACCACCGAATTCGATACCAACACGTAGTTCGTATTGGTCTCGATGCGGACAAATCATTTCGTCTTTGCAGGTTGAACTCTGGCACCGTATTTTTCCACGTCGCCTAGTTCTAATATTCGTTGGATCTCCGGTACTTTTAAGGACATGTTTGGATAGTATAGAAGCAATTCCAAGAGTCTTTATATTCTTTCTTATTAATATGAATAAAGATTTTGGTAAAATAATCTCTCAAATAGCTTCTTTAATCATATATTTTTAAATATTGACATCCTTTGTTTCAGATTTAATTTCTCGCTAGCCAAAAGATGGAGAGCACGATTGACTCTCTAGAATGAGCACATAATATAGATAAACTGTTAAAGGGTGAAAAGATATAGATAATGCTTTTTATTTAAATGGCTCTCTAAACGATGATTTAGAGAATGAGTTTAAGAAGACTTTTAGAAATGCTCTAAGAGATAATTATTAGTCAGCTAAAAATTAGCCAAACCCAATCCAAGCAGGGGGCTAAACTCTAAGGGCCTCTCTATATCTGACCCACCTTCTCGATGGAAATAGATATTTTGGTGAGAAAATACCCTTCAAGAGCTTTTTAATGAGATCTTCAAATATTATCATTCTCTATTCTGAATTTCTCGCTAGCCAAAGATAGAGAGCAAGATTGACTCTCTAAAGTACACAAGATATAGAGAGATTGTTGGAAGGTGAAAATATACATAGAGCATTTTTTATTCAAATGATCTAAATCAAGATTGACTCTCTAGAGTACACAAGGTATAAAGAGATTGTTGGAAGGTGAAAAGATATAGAGAACATTTTTTATTCAAATGATCTAAATGATGATTTAAAGAGTAGGTTTAAGAACGATTCTTGAAGATGCTTATAGGTGGGATAATTTGTGAGCCAAGTCTACAACTAATTGTTAGTCAACTTAACTAACCTGAGCTAATCTATCTCCAACTATTAATTAGGCAAGCTGATCAAACATGCCCTAAATCAAGTTGTTCATAGGTACAACGCTAGCGTACCTGACCGTTCGAGAGGACTCGGCGTTCCATACGGCCGTCGCGTCCCTTGCAAGCTCCGGTTAGCCCGACACCCATCGAGGGCAAGCACCAGATGTGGTTTTTCAGTTGCTACATGTCAGCGGTCTTATATAGTTGAAAGCTCTAGTTTGGTTTTGGTGAATTGATGAAACCCTAAGTGCTAACCTAGTTCATCAAGTGATTATGAGATAGGTAGCACACTTCAAGTAGAGAAGCAAATGAAGATCATAACATGACAATGGTGATAGCATGGAGATGATCAAGGGCTTACACTTGAAGAGAAGAAAGAGAAAAACAAAAAGCTCAAGGCAAAGGTATAAACCATAGGAGCTATTTTGTTTTGGTGATCAAGACACTTAGAGAGTGTGATCACATTTAGGTTTGATAGCCGTACTATTAAGAGGGGTGAAACTCGTATCGGAATGCGGTTATCAAAGTGCCACTAGATGCTCTAACTCATTGCATATGCATTTAGGATCTAGTGGAGTGCTAACACCCTTGATAATATTTGTGAAAATATGCTAACACATGTGCACAAGGTGTTTGCAGGGTTGAGATGGGTTTGGGTCCCTCTCTCCCTCCCGCCGAGCTTTGCGAGGCGGGATTCGGCGCTTTCGGGAAAATGAAATGTCTATTTTCTATTGCTTGGGATGCAAAATTCTTGGTGGTTGGCACACTTGAGCAAGGGTGAAGAAGTAAGAGTTGAAATGGAGTTGATCGAAATGATGTTTGGCGTCGGTCTGTGACCGGACGGCTGAATCAGCTACCGGACGCCGATTGCTGCGTCCCGGTCACATTACTTCAGCGATACTGATGGCTAGGGGTTGAGCACCGGACGTTGGTCGCGTCCGGTCAAGGTGGGACGGACGCGTCGGTCGAAAAATCATGCCTCGGGAGCTTCTTTGAAACGACCGGACGCTGGGGCTTCAGCGTCCGTCCGGCCGATTCAAGGAGCAGCGTCCGGTCGAGGCTCGATGACCGTTGAGTCTGGACACGTGGGCGACATCGAGCGACCGGACGCCGAGAGCGGCGTCCGGTCGGTCGACCGGAAGCGTCCGGTCCGTAACGCTGCGTTTTGCCCAAGTGAAGGGGTATAACGGCTCTATTTGATGGGGCTCTATTTATAGCCCCATGGCCGCTCAAAGGAGCTCTCTTGCACATTTTCATTGACATAGCAACCTTGTGAGCCTAGCCAAAGTTCTCCCACTCATTTCCATCATAGATTAAACATCTTTGTGAGATTGGGAGAGAATCCAAGTGCATTGCTTGAGTGATTGCATCTAGAGGCACTTGGTGATTGTGTTTCATTGCGGATTTCGCTTGTTACTCTTGGTGGTTGCCGCCACCTAGGCGGCTTGGAGCTGACAAGGATCGTTGAGTGGAGGAGGTGATTGTCTCCGACTCGATCGTGGTGATTGTGAGGGTTCTTGACCTTTCCCGGCGGAGCGCCAAAAGGTACTCTAGTAAATTGCTTGTGGCTTGTGTGATCCTCATCTTGTGTTGGTTGTGCGGCACCCTATTGAGGGTTTGGCGAGTGATGCCAATCGGTGGCGTGAACCTCCAAGTGAGTGAATCGCCTAACGAGGACTAGCTTTGCCGGCAAGCAAGTGAACCTCGGTAAAATCATTGTGTTCATCATTTGATTCCGAGGTGATTGGTCTACATTGGTATTCATTATTGTGATTGATTGGTTCCTACCATCACACACGGCGGTATAACCCTCTTGATCACTCTCTTTACTTTACCATAAACTAGTTGACAAGCTCTTTAGTGTAGCTAGTTATGAGAGCTTGCATGCTTGGTTGGTGTGGCTCTTTAGTTAGCTTTTGAGAGCACACTAACATAAGGTAGTGTCATTGCTCTTGTGTGAATTGACACTATCTAAACTAGAATTGTGGTAGGTGGCTTGCATTTTTAAGTAGGCTAGCGCAACACTCGCTTCGCCTCATAATTGTCTAACCATTTGGTTAAGTGTTGTTGTAGAATTTTATTAGGCTATTCACCCCCCCTCTAGCCATTAGGACCTTTCAATAGTGCTACATAAGATTTTTGCTGATATGGAGGGAAGAGAGAGAAAGAGGGAAACGACCTCATGACCTAAAACTTTGGACTATGAAACAACTATTGTACCGTTGTATGAGTTGTTGTTGTCATGCAACTCACAGCTTTTCTTTTATTCTATGCATAAATTAAGGAATTATGAATTACTATGAGATAAATTTTTAAGAATGAAGTACTCTCTTGTCCTAAAATAAATGTATATCTTGCTTATCAAGGAGTCAATCTTTTAAAGTTTGACTAAAAAATAGAAAATAATATTAATATTTGTATCTTCAAATAAATTTATTATAAATATATACACCATGCTCAATCTAATGATACTTATTATATATCATAAGTATATTAATATGTTTTTGTATAAATTTATAGTTAAATTTAAAAATTTTAACTTCTCGATAAGTGAAATGTGTATTTATTTTGGAAGAGGGGCGCGCAGTGGACACGAGGACCGCTGGACCGGAGCGGCCCAATCGCGGCCCTCAATCCAAACACGACGCTCGCCAGCGGTCAAATTTGAACGGGCCGGCGCTGGTTTCGGCCCAAATGTACCCCTAGTTCCCTCTTGTAATCCTGTTCCAGCGTCACCCGACCGGCCCCGGTCTCTTCTCGCCGCCCCTTCGCAGTCGCAAGTCTCTTCCCCCTCCTAGAGTCGCCGCCCGTCGCCGCCGTCCATTCCACGCCCCTCCGCTTTCCATGGCCTATGTAGGGCTGGTCTAGAAGGCCTGCCGCTAGCGGTTGGATTTCCGCGGAACATTGCTGAGTCCGCTCCGACGCGCTCCTCGCGGCTGGCGCTGCTCTGAGAACTGGATATGTTGGGCCTAGCACCCCTCATCTCTGCTCCTCTCCCTATCCGCGCCTCCGCCACCGCCTGCGGCCGAAACACCTCGGTAAAGCCCCGCGCCTTCTCCTCCTCTCTCTTCCTCCTCCCGTCCCCTCCTTTTTCATGTCACGTGAAATGATGTCTTGTTCTCTCCCTCGGACGGGCAGCAGCAGTTCGCCGATGGCGGCCAGCTCTCGCTTGTCGTGCCAGAGGCGGCCGAAGGTGACACGGTGCAGCCGGAGAATATGCACAAGTGGAGGATGGTCATCGCCTACGATGGAACAAAGTTCAAAGGTTTGATTTGATTCCTGCTATAACATCTAAAATTAATACATTGGTTTACCGTAATACACCCTTCGTCTCAAATCAGAGGTCATTTTAGTTATTTGTCTAAGTTAAATTTCTCTAGTTTTCAGCCAGGTTTATAGAAAAATACACTAACATTTAAAACATCAAATTATTTTTATTAAACCCACCATGAACTGTAATTTAATAGTGTATTTATTGTACATGTTAATAGGTTTTGTATAAACTTGGTCAATGTGCTCTCTGAACCGTGCTAGATTTGTTAGCGCACCCCTCCCTCTTTGCAACCATGGTGGTAGCTCTAGTGACGGGAACCATGACGGCAGCCCCTCCCTCACCCATTGACATATGGGTCCCATGGCTGAGCATTGAGAAGTAAGCTGTAGATAAGCCGGAGTGCCAAACGTAGCTTTTCATCTAGCCAGCTTTTTCAACAAGCTGCTTATGCGGACAGCTGGCAAGATGCTGGCTGAAAAATAAATTTAAGCGGTGACCAACATGGCCATAGTCACTCATGACACAGCTCTCCTTAATATATGCGCTTTACTGATTCATGGCACCAAGTGTCATGGCTCTCCTTCGTATATGTGCTTTACTGATTCATGGTGTTGGTGCCTTATCTTAGCATATTAAGGCTTTTGTGGTGATGATTTCCATACATGGTACTATCCGATAACTTGAAGAGTGAAGAGTAGAGAAAGTGCTAGGCTTCAACGCTTCATCTTAGCCTTTGTAGATGTGATGTGCTGAATTGTAGATGAAGGCATTGTATGTCTGAATAATTATTGAGATGGAAAGGAGTGAGGTAACATTTTTTGTGGCATCTATGTGTTTATTTCTTTGTAGGCCCATTTGATTAATTTTGAGATTCTATAGCTGTGCTATTTTGGATTGTAACAATGCACAACAGTAGGTCATCTTTATAATCTCTAATCTTTATAACTGAATTTGCCAAGGTACAATATTCTCTTCTTAATTGTGCGTCAAAATTATTTTCTAAGATTGGGGGTATTAATTGTGGTGGCAAAGACTTCTAGAGGTCTGGCCCCATATAGGAGGCCATCCTTTTAGGATATATTAGAGTATAAAGCAGAGATAAAAATGGGATTCTTGGAGGGGCTCATCACTGCAGAAGGTTTAAATGACTGTTTTACTGTTTACATTTTTCAGGCTGCAGCAGCAGCTTGCTAATAGTCTACTGCAACTTTAGTGCACTAGTTACCATGTTTTAGCTGTTATCACATTCACAAGTAACTTGAGTACATATTGGGTATGGAGTTTATTCCCTTCACATATGAGTGGTTTAATCCTATTGCAGGAAGATAAATAAATGTTACAACATACACAAACTGAGTAATTTCGAATTCCAGTTAAGTAATTAGTCCAGGCCTTGGAGACGTATTTGTAAAAGCTGGGCACCTCTTAGATGCGAATTCTTCATATGGCTAGCAGTTAAGAACCGGTGCTGGACAGCTGACAGGTTAGCCAAAAGGGGTTTGCCCCATCCTGCTTCATGCCCTCTTCGCGACCAGGCAGAAGAAACTATTCAACGCACCCTTGTCAGTTGTGTGTTTGTGCGATAGGTGTGGACAATGATTCTAATTAGATTGGGACTTCTAGCTATTGCTCCTGAGCCGGGAGTGACCCATTTCACTAACTATGTGCAAAGCAATCAAGGGGTTTGATAAAAAGATGAGAAAGGGGCTGAATTCTTTGATTGATTGGTCGCTTGTGAAATCTGGAAGCATCACAATGTATGTGTGTTTGAAGGAACTTCTCCTAATGTCCAAGAGGTTTTACATGCAGTGACAATCGAAGGTTTTTTATGGTGTATGGCTGGAGCCTCTGCTCTTCAAGAACTGCTCCTTCGGTCGCTAATCACATAGCCATGAGCCTCTGTGTGTTTCTTTGGCCCTGGTCATGTAGTCCTTGTTCACGGTAATTCTTGTACTGTTGGTGTTTGTGGTGTCCGGGAGCCTCTCTCCCCTGTACTAGGAGTGGACTCTTGTCCCTCTGATGTAATTTTTTTCCTCTTAATGTGACACGCAGTTCTCTTGCGTCTTTCGAGAAAAAAAAATTAGTCCAGGCCTAATAGTTGGTTTTTCTTTTTTTGAAATTGGCCTAATAGTTGGATTTGATTTGGGTTACAACATACACAAACTGAGTAAAATTGAATTCCAGTTAAGTAATTAGTCCAGGCCTCATATTTGGATTTTATTTGGGTTTATCTTCATGTTATCAATATTTTATGCAAAATTGTTAGTCAGATATCACGATTAGATGTGAATATATGATTAGTTATCATGGTCCAATGACCCTAGAATTTCTATTTAAGTTTTACTCTTTTGAAGTATCTATGTGCATGCATAGGTGCTGCACAAGCATTAAGTAAACGGTTGTGAAATAATAGGTTGGACATTATTCTCTTTTTCCTGCTCTGATTGACTTGTTTTTGCTCGAAAAGAAAAATTGCCAATTTGGTATGGATTCAACTTCATGTCAGCTCGATTAGGCTCAGCGTGTTAACCTGGTAACTAAATTACTTCTGAATAAATAAATAAGATGATCCATGATCACTAATCAGAATATTCCGAATTTGAACAATGCTCGGCCAAAAACTGTTAGCTTGATAGCCACCCCTTATACTCAAGCTATCAACCACTATCTAGTTAAATTGCTTCACATTTCACATGTACATCCCTTAGGTTTCACGAGAACAGTGTAATTTTGCAACTTAACATGATTCTTACCATTATATCTCAGGTTGGCAGTATCAACCATCAATTCCAACAATACAATACTTTCTAGAGGACGCACTGATATGCATCACTAAGCTGGATCGGAAGAAACTGTGCTTGGTCGGTGCAGGCAGGACTGATACAGGTGTTCATGCGTGGGGTCAGGTTTAATAAACATACTACATAACTGTAAACTGAAGCTTAAATTGATATCTATCATCTGGTTTGCGTATCCTGCACTGTTAAATGTCAGTGTTATGTTTTATATGAAATGCTGGGGGATCACTTATCATATTTGTTGTTTTCAGGTGGCACATTTTACTACACCCTTCAGTTACCGTTGCCTCAATAGTATTCATTCTGCAATGAATGGACTCCTTCCTCCTGAGATTCGAGTCAGGGAAATTAGCGCAGCACGTCCTGAATTCCATGCTCGCACATCCACAAAGAGCAAAGTCTATCGCTACAAGATCTATAATGAAGCAATCATGGATCCCTTTCATAATCGCTATGCTTATCATAGTGCTTATAAACTTAATCCCCATGCCATGCAGGAGGCTGCAAATTATTTTGTTGGAACCCATGACTTCACATCCTTTGCTAATGCTGCACATAATGATCGTGAGCGCAGACCCACAAAGAAGATAACACGTTTTGATGTTACTGAAATGGTAATTGATTTCCAAACCAAAATAAAATGTTTTTGGTACTTCTGTTTTTTTAGTGTGCTGTTCAGTATTTTGGTTTTATCTTTTCATATTGGTGGGCTTCCTTTTTGTGTTGGTTGACATGTTCTTTTTTGTTCGTATACTCTACAGGGTGCTGTCCTACAGCTCGAGGTTGAAGGTACCGGTTTTCTGTACAGACAAGTGAGGAACATGGTAAGTTCAACGTTGTGTGTAAATGCCTATTTCAAATTTAGCTTCTTTCAGGTTTACATATTTATACATTATTATCATTTTTGCGAGTCCTCCATTGTCCTAAATCATAATGTGTTCTCCAACATTTATTTATCTTAGATGCATGGGAAAAACAAATAAACAATACTGAAGCCATTTATAGCAACCTTGTTTATATTTTTATTTTCCCTACACGTAATAGTTGAAATTTGAAATCAATTATGAAATCGCCTTCATACTTCTGCATTAGTGTAGTCATAATGTAAGTGGAAAACTAGTTATATCTCCATCTACTTCAATGTTGGTCAATAAGCCTTTAGCCTTTTATAGGAATGAAAGTTGGCTATCATACATGGTCAACATGTTTTGAAAATTGGCACCCGATTACTTTGAAGCTCTACTAGGAAGCTACAAGGATTCATGTCATGGTGGTGGCTAGGGGGTTGAGAGGGAGAGATGGGGGCGGCTGGGGGCCTTGCCCACGGTGAACAAGAGAGAAGTTTCCTTCTAATTCTGCTTTATTCTAATCATCCTTATTACGAGGAAATAAATAGGCTCTCGGCCTCTAAACTTAGGAAAGAAAGCGCCTAGAATTAAGGCCTAGATTGACCATGCAACACTCTCGGCGCCTCCCTCCATCGACACGGTCACACCTATTTTTAGGCCTCGTGGACTGGCCATGCAGCCTTCTTCTCAGACGCGCCCTCCTTGAGACGCGGTCCCCATGGCCCATGACATACGCCTCTAACACTTATCGTGAGTCCAGCCAGCCCAGCCCAGTGAGCCTGCTCGGGTGATGATGACCTTATGATAGCCCTCTTTCGAAGGTTGCCACCATCTTCGCTTAATCGGCCGGGCGTTCGGGGACCATTGCATCACTTTGGTTCGGGTCGGTGGCGTGTGGCTGTGCGCCTTCTCGCTACCCGCCTCCCACAAAAGGCAATTTGGGCGCCAATGCTCCACCATGTTGTCCAAAGGGCTTATCCGGTATGACACTTTGGCGTTTTCCTTATCGATCCTGCTTTGGTCAAGAAGGCGCCGAAGCGACGCGTGGCGTTTTGCATCGATCGCGCGCCTCAATGCCATCACGTCAGGGCCCGCGTTTCCCATCCGGTGGTCAGCGAACTTCTCGGCGAGGAATGCCGCGGCGTCCCGTTTCTTAACGTTCGGACCTCGCTCGGCTACCACAGTGCCCGGTGATGTGTTCTCGATGTCGCTTGGCCACAGACAGCGTTCGGCGCGCATGGTGGTAGCCAAGCGAGGTCTAGTTTGGTGATGAAACGGGCACCCGCAGTTTTGTCGTACGAAGTTTGTCGACCACCGGATGGAAAACGCGCCCTGACGGTGATGGCATCGAGGGCGCGGAAGTTGATGCGAGAACGCGCCACGCGCGATGGCTTTCTTGACCAGCAGGACTAAACATGAAACGCTGGCGTCGCGACGCGATCAGCCCTTTGGGACAACATGGTGGAGCATTGGCGCCCACCGCTCTTCTTTGTGGGAGGCGGAAGCGACTGAAGGGCGCAACCACCGGCTCGACCGGAACCAGTTGATCGATGGTCCCTCGAGCGCTGCAATTGTTCGGGCGAAGATGGTGGCGACTCATCGAAAGCAAGGTCGTCCGCTCGAGCGAGCAAGCTGTTGGTAAAATTGGTGGCGGACTCGTGATACCCCGCCAGCAGACCTTGTGATTCCAGCGCGCCAGAAGGACATGGGACATGGTGAGGGCGCCAAAATCCCACAGGATCGGGCCTAGGGACGCCAGCCACTACGTGTCGAGCACGACGTCGTAGCCCGCCAGGGGACGCGAAGAAATCTGCTGTGAAGTCTTCGTCACCGATGGTAAAGGGCGTCCCGTGGTACATGCCCGGGCACGGCACACGCTCGCCGTTGGCCACCGTGACCAGCATCTTGCCCCGGGGATGGAGCTGGAGAGTGGTGCGGCCTGCAGCTTCCTTAGAGATGAAGTTGTGGGTGAAGCCCAAGTCGAGGAGCGCAAGGAGGGAGGCGCCCCCAGCTGCAATTGCACCCGCATCGTCTCGCTGGTGCGGTCCTCCACGATGGCGTGCAGGGAGATCTGGGGTCGGGTTCCTCAGACTCCGCCTATTTGATGTCGTCATCATCATCTGCGGTGGCCAGGTCAAGGAGGAAGATGTGGTTGTGGCCGTGCCCGAATTTTTCATTGCAGGTTGAGAGGGAGAGATGGCCAGATGGGGGCCGGCCGGGGGCCTTGCCCACGACCGAGCAAGAGATATGGCTTTTCTTGCTTGATTCTGAACATCCTTATTAAGAGAAATAAATAGGCTCTCGGCCTCTAAACTTAGGAAAGAAACGCCTAGAATTAAGGCCTAGATTTGGCCATGCAACACTCCCAGCCGTCGGCCTCTACACTTAGGAAAGAAACGCCTAGAATTAAGGCCTGGATTGGCCATGCAACACTCCCAGCCGCGTCCCTCCATCACACGCGGTCACACCTATTTTTAGGCCTGGATCAGCCATGCAGCACCTCAGCCGCGCCCTTCAATCAGACACGGTCCTTGCGTGGACTGGCCATGCAGCATCAGACACGGTCCTTGCGTGGACTGGCCATGCAGCCTTCCTCAGCCGTTCCCTCCTTCAGACGCGGTCCTCACAGCGCATGACATACGCCTCTAAGAGGAGATTAGCGAAAAAGACTAGCCAAATTTACCGATTTAGCTACTTCAAAAATAGATTTGACAAAAAATACTAGAGTACTCTAACAGACTCCGTAAAACAAGAGGCTAGATGGCTAGTGAGGTAGGCTATCCAAAAACAAAGAGCGAATGAGGTGGGATGGAGACCTACTAAATTTGGAGAGTCATTTACAGAGTCTTGGAGACGTTTTTCCTTTAATAATAGCCAAATTTACCTTTAGAAAACGATTTGGCTAATCCCTTGGAGATGCTCAATTCAAATATAGCCTGAACTTAGCAAATTCTAGTTACTCCACCAGTGAGTATAATAGGCATCAACAGTACTGGACGACATGGCAGAATAAAAATGTGTGCAAATTTTTTTAAAAGTTTGAGGGCTTCTACATCTGTTAAATTGTTTATTTGCACCGAATGCAATATTTGGTGCATTCAGCGTTTCTATTTGAGACAAATCATCTCCACGAGAGGCTCTAAAACATTTTTTTTTACTTTGCACACCCATAGAGTATGATGTATTGTATGATGCAGGTTGCTTTGCTGCTTCAAGTCGGAAAGGAAGCACTGCCTCCTGATATCGTTCCAGCGATCATTGCGGCCAGGGACCGCAAAGAACTGGCGAAGGTGGCCTTGTCAGCACCACCACATGGATTGTGTCTCATGTCGGTTAACTATGACGAGGAAATCCTGAAGCCTCCTGAAGGTTCCCCTCCAATTTCCTTTGGCAGAGCTCACCATCTTAGTAAATGCAAACTTCCATTTTATTAATTTGTTACAGATGAATTGTCTTCCAGAAATGGAGTATCGTTTTTTAGCTTCCCTTGCCTCCTAGAATTTTCTTGCTTCACAACTGTCAATCGTAGGCCCTTATGGCCTGCTAGTTTTTGCGAACGTACTGAAGTATACTTTTTTATACTCCCAGTATTCTAAATTATAAGGCATTCTAACCTTCTTAGAAAGTCAAGCTTGATCAAAATTATAGAGTACACAAATTTATAACATTAAATAAGTATACTGAACATATAATTAATAAAGAATCTAATAGTACTTATTTGGACTATCATAAATAATTTGAGATGGAGTGAGGACTATACTACAGCCTGAAGTAATTGTTTATTCAGCCGAACATGCTCCCTTTTACTGAACTAGTTGCTCAACCATGCGTTGTCACGGAGACCGGAACTACTGAACACAATGATTGGTGCATGAAAGAACATATACCGTCTGTTTGGTTGTGGGATCAGTGGGTTGGAGTGGTTTCAACCCACGTTTTTGGGACGGCTCCACCCCTTGATTTGTTTGGTTGCGAGAATGGGTTCGATCCGTCTTCTGTTTGGTTGGAGGACTGAGATGGGGTCGGATCCATCCTATTTTCTGTTTGGTTGGATGGATTCAAACAGAACCTGCATATGGTCACCTTTGCACTGAAATGATGAGGTTACCCTCCTCAATTTATGCAACACATAGCAATATTTGTGCTCAACACATAGCAATATTTCATATGCTTGCACCATGCATTAAAGATCAGCACACAAAATAATATAACAGGCACATATAAAAGTCTTGGCCATATTACAAATAAAAGTCTTAGGCCATATCCATAGGCACATTACACACTAATATCAAGTCTGATGCTTGCACGATGCATAAGTTCAAGCCTTACACAATATATAGCAAGTTCAAGGCTTCCACATAGCAAGACACAAGCTTACTTAGACCACAAATATAAAGTTCTATGTGGTACTAACAAAAGAACCATCCCATGACTACAACTTACCCTTACTGCCCAGGGTAGTTGTCAGCAATGTGCTTTGCAACCCAATTGAATTTATGTTCAAAAGGCAAGGAGTTGAAAGCTCTAGCTATGTGAGGATGTTGGACCAAGTAGGAATGGTAGAAGGATAAGTGAGTCGAATTGAAACTACCACTCATAGCCATCAAGTTGTCATACAAATCATCCGACACATCATTGTCAGGTTTCCCCGCTTCCTTTATCGCCTTGGCTAACTTGGTACTTTCCCATTTAATTGCAGCAACCAATGGATCTTGGTCAGTCATGGCCCTCTTCTTGCCCTTGTCCCTCTTCTTAGGATTGGTGGCCTTGGTAGCCGATGAAGTTGCCGCATTGTTGTCTTCATTTGCATTCCTATCACTCTGTACCTCCATCCTCTGCACCTTATTGTCCCAGTCATCTGTACTGTCTTCCTGTGTACCTAGAGGCACACTCGAGTCCTTTGCAAACTTGCCTGTAGCCATGGTACTTCCAAATATTGTGTGCATCTCCTCAAAGTGTTGAATAGGCTTGTTTAGAAAATCAGCATCATACTTGTGATCCTGCAATATATATACAATTTTAGCAACTACTATTATGTGACAACTAATAATTCAGCAACTATTATTAGATTATTATATATGAGAACTAATAATTCAGCAAATACCTTAATATGATTGTTGTAGTGCTCATCATCAAGAGTTATAGTGAAGGTATCTTCATCCCAACCAGCAGCACTCAAACCACGAAGGTCACATATTTTACGAAACTTCTTTTGCCATGTCTTAAGGTGATTCTTAACCTGCTCACCACTGCGCACAATGCCAAATTTCTCTTGAAGAGCCTTTGCACACCCATTGTAGTGAACCATCTTGAAGGTGGATGAAGTCTTGGTGCCATTAACCACTAAATTGGCAAGGTATTCGAGCATGTAGGCTGACCAAGTTGAAGTCCAAGTAGCATGTCCACCAGTCCCTGCACTACCCTCTGCTTCCATTCCCCTACAAAATAAACAATGCAATATATGTCCTCAAATAATAATGCCAACAAAGTAGCAAACAAAGTAGCAAACAACGTGGCAATCAAATATCTGTAGAAATATGTCCTCAAATACAATTTCAGCCCTCAAATACAATTATTACATTGTCCAAGAAAAAAAAATACAACACATATTATATTGACCGATACTAGTTTCCATGGCTTTGACGATCTGCCCACATTTGGGCAACCAGGCCTTCCCTAAAAGCTAGCATAATGGCATTCTCACTTGCTGTCCCAGCATATGTGGTGTGCTGGGTGTCCTCATCGTTGTCACTTGGTATATTGAATTCATCACTCCCATCTTCAATCACCCAATTATGAATGATGCAGCAAGCAACAACAATATCAACTTGAGTTTCATAAGGAAAAAAAGGAGAGGCATCATCAAGTACTTTGAATCTCCTTTTTTAGTGCTCCAAATGCTTGCTCTACTATGATTCTCAATGAGCAGTGCCTACGGTTGAACAATTGCTTCTCATTTTGCACCGGATTCCTCCCCCATTCATTCAAGTGGTATCGTACACCCCGAAAAGGGGGTAGAAATCCTGGTTTGGCTCCATATCCAGCATCAACTAGGTAATATTTACCTAACATATGATGCATAGTTAGGTTACATCTCAATGATCCATTAATTTTGATGAACAAATTTATGGACAAGACATAGGTTCTTGTATTACCTTGTGGCACACGAAGGCCACCCTCACGTGTTAAAGCATCACGTAAAACTAGTGCGTCATGTGCTGTCCCCTCCCATCCGGCCAACACATAGGTGAACTTTTGGTCAAAATCTACGGCTGCCAGTACATTTTTAGTACAATGCTTGTATCTACCACGAAAAGCATGCTGCATTTCCTTTGGAATAGTGGCTCTTATATGTGTACCATCAAGTGCTCCTATACAATCCTACATGATGTTCAAAGAAGTCAAGATTAGGTCAATTAGGTTTGGCAAAAAATAAACTTAGAATATGACATAAGGTTGAGCTTCACACCTTAAAGTATGGATACCACCTTGGGTCTCCTTCAATTTTAGCTGGAGTGTCCAATGAAGGGGGCCTAATATAATCATCTCGTAGCTCACCAATAGCATGAAGTACTTTGTTAAAATAACAACTGACTGTTTCTTCGGATCTACCAAAATTGGTTGCAATTACTCTATTCCTAACATTGTGCCCCACAGTATGCAAAAACATTGACACTTGCTCCTCAACACACATATGAACGGTATCTTCAAGTAAACCACAATCTCTAAACAACTTACAAAACCTAAAGAAACGTGCTTTGTTCATTCTCAGCATGTTTACACAAGTTGTGTCATCCTTCCAGATTTTGTCATTGAGGTATTCCATTCTCTTCTTATCCCTTTCATATATTGGTGCATAAGTAATCCCTTCCCTTCTTGCAACTCGTTTTCTTTTCCTAGACCGAACAACAATTGTCATGACACACAACAACCAATGTGCAGCAGCAGCAAAAACAAATGCCTTGAGCCTGTTATTCATCTACATACAGCAGCACAATCAAGCACAGCAGCACAATCAATATAGATCAAGTAGGTAAAAAGCAAATATTCAGAAGCAGACCCCATCCAATTCCATATAAGAGGTAGCATGGTCTTAAAATTCATGTAGTTTGGTTCAAAGTTACTTACAATTTAAGTCTGAGCACAATATACTACTGAAAGACCATCCATAGTTTGTTTCTATTCATAGGAAAAGGGTGCTCCTAACCATCTAGGCGTTGTACGCAAAACCTCTCGGCATTTCATCAATCGCATCAATGAAGTCGCTATGAAATCGCTATGAAAAAGTAACAACAGAACAAGACTAAACCGGTACTCACCTGCAGGGATCTGGGGCAGAGGGCCGACCTGGCGCCGGTCCAGGGCAGATGGCGGGGCGACGCAGAGGGCGGCGCGACCCTGGCGAAGATGCGGAGCCGGTCCGAGGCAGAGGGCGGCGTCGGTCCGGGGCAAAGCCGGCGGGCGGGTGGCTCCTCGGGCGGACCTGGAGGCGGGCGGGGCGGCTCCTCGAGGCCAAGTGGGGTGGCTCCTCGGGCGGCAGAGACCAGCGGGGCAGCAGGTGATGGCTGTGGCCGGTCTTGGGTGGCCGAGCAGCTGCGCGACCCTGGCAGAGATGCGGGGCTCGGCGCTGGGCGGCGGTCTGATGGAGCGGTCGAGTGGAGGGGAGGTGAAGGGATAAGGTTTGGGGTTACTGCAGCGCACGTGAATTTCTCAACCCGAGCGGAGTGGCTCCGTCCGCTAGATTTCGACGGAGCAACCGAACCCGCATATTGGAGGAATATTCTCCTGGGGTTGAACCCAACCCATCCCAAACCTCCATCCAAACAACCAGAAAATGGGTCGAACCCATTCAGGTTGGCTCCAGCACTCCAACCAAACAGACGGATATAGGGTGCTTTGTTTTTGTTTGTTCCGACGTCCGTTTGATCGGACGCCGCTTCTTCCTGGGCCTACACGCAAGCTATCGGCCCAACAAGCCTACCTCCTCTGTACGTCTTTTCTATCTCCCTTAAAAATATCTTCTCACTCGCCCAACGCAAGTGCCGTGCGGCCGTTAGCCTGCCCCACTTCGCATTCGTCGCAGCGGCCATCTCCCCCGTGCGTCCTCATCCTGCGCTCCTCGCATGCCCCACCCGCGGCTCTTACTCCTTGCTCCTACAGTCCCACCCGCGCCATCGGGTGCGCCGCCCGCCTCTGCTGGTGCTAGTGGTGCCGTCGTGTGCCTCAGGTAGGTCCTCACCGAGCCTTAAAAAGTTTTGGACTCGAAAGTTTTTCCAAGAGATGCCTGCTAAAAATTGTTTCAATCTCTCACCAAAATAGATAAGAAGTATATCACTGAAAATTACTATCCAGCCATATGGGTATATGAAGAGCGCAAGGGCACCCACGAGCACGGTCCGTGTTGGTGGTGCTCGCGCGCTGCCGCTCGGCGTCGGCTCCCATTCCGAGGCTGGAATCAACCGGCCCTGACATCTCGCTCCCCTTATGGTGCAAATGTATGTTTTAAGTATTCCAGATGTTATCAGAGGTATGCTGCAAGTGTTTCATATGTATGTTGTAAAAGTAGATCGGAATGTTGCTATGTTGCAAGTGTTTCAGAGGCATGTTGCAAGCGTTTGTTCAAAATTGTTTCATCTGTTTTAGACGTATGTTGCAAGCGTTTTTTATCTGGATGTTCACATGTTTCACACATATGTTGCAAGAGTATGTTTGAAATGTTTCAGCTGTTTCAGTATTATGTTACCATAATTGTTTTTATGTTGTAAGTTGCAAGTGTTTTATCTAGATGTTGCATATGTTTGGCATACATGTTGCAAGTGTATGTTCCAAATATTTCATCTGCTTCAGACGTACGTTGCATTCAAGTGTTTTCATGTTGCAAGTGTTTCGTGTTTCAGAGGTATGTTTAGAGAGTCATGGGGACACGCCCCGGGCACTGGGGGAAGGGGCGCGCAACGCGCCTGGGGTCTTTGCGGATGGGCATGCTCTTCCTTATCCTGGCTCCTGTGTCTCGTCCGCGCAGAGAGAGAAGAGGGGGGCAGGGGAAGAAGCGGCGGGTGCAGGGTGGGACGAGGCAGACATGGGGCGGAGTACGCGTGTGGGGCGAGACGAGGCGGATGGGGGACGGACACGCACGTGCAGCAGTGAACGGCGCAGTGGCAGGCGCAGGCGGGCAGTCTGGCGACCGAAGCTGGGGTCACGCGATGACGTTTTCTGATGGGCCCTTCTGCTATGCTGTTTGATGGGAGTGTGCCTAGGTTACCGTCCGATGAAATCATATCCCACCGGACGTCCGGGCGCCCACAATTCCCTTTGTTATTCCGTTAAATTTGAAGAGTAGACTTGTGATGTACCACGTCATCATTTCAAACAACCCTAACTGTGTTTTAGAATACTAGCAAAATGTTGTTCACAATGGCTAAAATCAGTTATAGTGAAAGATTTTGTCTCAATTTTAACATGTTCGCTTGCTCGTATACGATCGTGGATTATAAGTTGGAACAGTATTTTTCTCTCACACCAAACCAGCCAGCAGTAAATAATCCACGATCATTTCCGACCTGCCGAACGGGCTGTTTAAAGACGTGACATAGAAACTGAATAGTATGAAATAGGCTCTCCCAAAACACAGAAGGGACTCGAGTGGGCGAGGTCCCGTATGCGTGCTGCGTACCCGCCGTTCTGCTCCGGCGAAGACGAACAGATGCAATGCTTCGGGTTCAGCCGTTCACGAGATCTGTGACTGACCGACTGTTGTGCGTGCTTGTGCGTCGCCAATGAAATGTGTCGTGAAACAGGTGCTTCTCCAAATAGACAGCTCTCAGTAATGATCTCATCAATATTTTCGATAGTTAACATAGCCCTGGTTTAGTTCGCGAAATTTGGATTTTGGAGCTACTGTAGCACGTTCGTTTTTATTTGGCAAATAGTGTTCAAACATGGACTAATTAGGCTCAAAACGTTCATCTCGTAATTTCCCACCAAACTATGCAATTAGTTTTTCTTTTCGTCTACATTTAATGCTCTATGCATGGGCCGCAAACATTCAATGTGACAGGTACTGTAGTAACTTTTTAGATATTGGGGGTGAACTAAACACGGCGACAGCTGGCATGTCCTTTGGCACGGAAAGTTCGAATAGTTGCCTTGTCTTTTCGTGATAAAGACACCCTTTCACTGTACCATTTCACCTTGTATATAGTACATTCGGCCCTTAGATCAATGCAAAACAGAAGTTCTACAGATTCATTATTCCATACATTTCATACTTACAGTCTGTTCGCTTGTTGGTTTCAGCCAGCCCAAATCAGCCAGCCAACAGTATTTTTCTCTCATAAAAAACCAGCACCAGCCAGTCCAAACCAGCACCAACACCAACCAGCGAACAGGCCCTTTAACAAAACAAAAATAGAGCTTGGTCTAGCAAACGATGGAAGGTGCTGGGCTGCATGTGTTTGCTTTTGGGGACCTAGATATTAGGGGCATGTACGGACGTACGGTTGCACAGGCTACACATTAATAGGGATGGGATCATGGGAGGCCATGTCTCAAAAAACACAGCTCCCGCACGGGCCCGGTAGACCCTTTTAAAAATGGTTTTGGGAAGTTGCTATGTGTTTGAAATTGAATGAAGTGAACCTTTTAGTTTTTCTGCCGATTTTGTATTAAAAAAAGAAAAATCTAGACTAGACAATACAATAAGCAACAACAATCTCAGAGAAAGAGCTAACGACAACAAAGATCATAACAACTATAACAACAAAGAAAGCAAGCTAGAATGTTCAATGCTGCAACAACGACAACCTTCTAGTTTTTTCTCTGCGAAAGAGGAGAAAATTACATCAAGAAACAGTAGCACGGTACATCCCTAGTCTTATATGTAACACCCTTGCAAAATTATAAATTACACACAACATCCAAAACACCAGAATGTTCTCGTTGTCGTCGCTTGAACTTCGTCCACCAAAAACGTCAACCAAGATCCACCTTCTAGGCTCACAATGGGTGCCAAACCATGGATTTGTCGCAAGAGCGAGCACCTAGAAACTCCACCAGAACACATCGATGATGCTAAACGAGCATCGGCCGCCGACATGTGAAGAAAAGGAGAGGAAGAGGGATCCGCCGCCGCCGACCATGAGACCGACGACCATAAGATTATTTCGTCGTTGTCAATACCGTCAACAACACGAACAAGGAATCCACCAAAAGGGATGCCGAAAGTGCCCACCCCTTCGCAAAAATGATTGAAGGAAAGCCTTACTCTTCCTCGGATGATGGAGACGGAGCACCGCGTGCCGAAGGACACCCCACAACCAACTATGCTGAAGCCCTCCACGCGAGTGTCGCGTTGAAGCGAATGTAGCAAAAGCAAGCGTTACCGCCATGCGTAAACTGAACCCTAACCTACCTAATACATACCTAGTAGCATAGGGTATGTACACTGGCCATTGAAATCGAGGTCCTCCCACACCTCCAGCATCGAAGAGGACATACGAGGCAAGGGGGAGTTGCCAAGATCGACGCTAGAAAGCAACTCGCTCTCGATTTGTCTCATCTACTGTAGCAAGGGGAAAACAAGTCGAGAAAAAGAGAATTGACCTACCTGAAGATAAACATCTCTCTGGCAACCTTCTAGTTTTAGAACTATTGTATTATTAAAACAAGATTTTTGGAGCTTAAGAAACCCCATTTGAGATTTTTCTCTCTAAACTATGGTTTTGCACAATATTTATCTTATAAACTATACTTTTAGTACTGCAACATGAAAATAGGCCTATATCTTACATTAAAATATTTTTTATGTGGACTGCTCCGGCAAATCCAAAACATTGTTTCAACTGATATGGTTGCAACCAAATGAACTTTGATTATCTAAATTAACTCTTACAACGTATCTGAGAAACACGCCAACGCCAACTTGGCTCGTTTTCTGAGGATAACAAACACACAAGATCTCCTTAGAAAAAGAGATTCATACAATAAAGTTAATTAACTAATCTTTCTTTGTAGAAAGTTAATCACGACTACGGTTAGTTAGTATACTCCAGTAGTAATAATGGGTTAACCAAAATCCTAAAAAAATTTGAAAGTGTATAGTTTGATAAAGAGCAAAGTGCATACCCGGTCCTTATACTTGTTGGGGGTGTATCATCCCGGTCCATAGACTCTCAAAACGACTAATTAGGTCCTGTGCTGTTTAAGTCCATAAGCAAGGATGGCGTGGCGTCTTATTGCAATTAGGCCCCTTAGATCTGTAATTCCACCCGCATGCCTTCGTGACCCTTTGGGTTCGTCGTCACGGCTCGCGGCGAGGACGTTGAGGGCTACGAGGTGAGCGACTGAAGGGACAACGGCGAGGGCGGCGAGAGGAGCGAGGGCCTCCGCACTACCGGAGCAGGAGAGACAGGCGACTGAGCACTGGAGCGGCGACGCTGCGGCTACAAGGATGGTCATGACGCTGCGGCCAAAAGGGGCACCTCTGCCTGTGTACGGTGAGTTTGATCGGTGCTTTCTCTTCTCGATTCATCGAATTTGGTAGGCTAAGAGGATGCACATGAGGTAGAAAGGCAAGACTTTGCCATGTCCGGTCGTTGAATTGGAGCAACATTTTAGGGTTTTGGCATTTTTCGTCTTCACTGCAATGTACCTGATTTTGTTGATTTTTTGTCTATTCTGTAGGTGATTGTAGAGATGTATTCACAGTAGAGATTCATCATGGTGGGTTTTTTGTTGGTTCTGGGAATCTCAGATCATATGTGGATGAAAGGGTGTCTTGGTTTGATAATATAGAGGCAGATATATGGTCTCCTTTGTGGTTTTCGGACTTTGCAGAGCAATTAGGCTACCAGAACAATCTAAACTTGAAGATACATTGGCTGCTACCAGGGAAGACAGTACCAGACGGTCCTGGTCTCATACTTTCAAATGCCGACACCAATGTAATGGCAACATGTGTAGAGGATGTGAAAAATCTGGTAGTGTATTTTGATCATGAGGACTTGTACGATGAAGTTAATTGGGATGATTTTGTTGCAAATCCGGTGCCTGAATTGCCAGAGGTCATCAGCCCATGCAAAGCGCAGTATGC